GAAAGAGGCTCAGTGCCTCCTGCCCCCTGGAGAAAGAGGCTCAGTGCCTCCTGCCCCTGGAAACGCTGCTCTGATGGCTCTGTACCTTCTTCTTCATGGTCATGGCGTTGCGCAGGTGAATGGCCAGCTGCCTGATGTAGATGAAACCCTGCTGATAGGACTCCTGAGTGTCCAGGGCGTACATTTCTGTCAGCGTCCTCTGCATGAAGTTGATGACTGGAAGCACGTTGGGAGAAGTAAACTTGCAGTTCTTCACGTAGGCTATGTACATGTGCTGGAAGATTGAAGCAGTAAAAATAATTCCATACTGTACTCAACAGCACAAGCCCTCAATGATCAAAAGATAAATTAATCATCTTATGATTAAGATATATCTGCAAGACGAAGATGTTTGCTTTTACAAACAGAGTTTCAGTCCGTTTCTGTGAACTCCTGTTGCACTGTTATTGGATTGCTTTGTTAACCACAGCAGCATGTAAGATCAGCACTTGGACCTACAAATTTGAAATTCTGATGAATTTTTATTTCTCACGTCAGCCAATGCCACAGGAGTGAGACCATCAACACTACATCATCACAAACAAGACACCAATAAACAGAAACAGCAAGGTAAGAAAATACCGAGCCCCAAAAAACGTGGAATGATGTTTAACTTGAGGTGTTAGCTTAGGAGCCATTTCCTCATGTGGACTCCAAAGCACATGCCTGTAATGAGGCCTGCAAATGCTTCCTGCTTAGCACACGCCTGTACGATCTCTTTAAGAAGGAGGCACAGCACCCACGAAAGGGAGCCCCGTGACCGACGAGAGACAGATGAAGCGCCCCATTACCGTACCTTCAGGACAGAGGAGAGATAGGAACCCTGCTTGTGTCTGCAGATCTTGTTGAGGGCCAGGAAAGCCAGGACCCGGACCGTCTCCTCGCCAGTGCTCCACTGCTTGATCAGTTGCTGCAGGCGAATGAGCACAGCATGAAGACCCAAAGCAGGCCTTAAAACTAAAGGGCGGCTGGGAAGGGGTCTCAGTGTGCCGGGAGGCACTGGGACGACTGTGCTCTGAGGTTCGCCCAGAGGCTCTGATGTGCAAAGGTTTACTAATGGATAAAACCCGGTGTGAGTAAATTTACCCCCCTTTTGAATTTTTTCAACTGTATTAAAAAATGATGAAAACCTGTAAGTATACCTTTTTTTATACCACTGACTCATCTAATGAACTGCAAGCTTAAAAGTTAACCTGGCCATCTTTACTCACTGATAAAGCCCTTCATAATCAAGAAACATAAGGGCCTAGGTACAAGGCCAGAAAACATACATTTAAATACTAGAAGCAGAGTGAAATCGAGAAATAATAAAAGGCTGATGCAATACAGCTGAACACTTTAATAGTACAATGTCAGGTAAATACTTAAATTATTTCTGGAAATGTCAGATAGCCTATTGCTGTGGGATTTGGGTGCAGGATTAACGTATTAGTTCCTTTCTAAAAATCAACTGGTCCCATGATATGCTTTGCAAACAAACATTTCTCTCTCTTCTCATTTAGCGCTCAGTGTGACAACACAAACAGGACAGGAGCTGTCAGGATCAGCACGTTTCCCCCCTCTCACCTTCAGGAAGTGTCTGCACTGCTTGGGAAGGCACAGGTAGTAGGGGACCATCTGGTTGGCGTGCTTGAGAACGGCACTGATGACAGAGGCTTCTGTTAAACAGGACAGGAGCTGCGAAAAGAAAAATCCAGCTGTTTCTTCCCGGCCTCTCGTTCCCGTGCTGTGTGGGTCACCTACTTTGACACAGCACAACAGCCACCAGAGAGGAAGGCTAAGCAGACCGGTACCGACCTGAACGAGCCCTGCCAGGTACATCTTGACGTCCGTTTGGGCCTTCTGCCACCTGGGGCTGGAGGAGGGGAGCACCAGCCTGCAGAAGGAAGTGACATCATCACATCAGGGCCTGTGGCCTCCTCATCTTGCATCACGGCTTGGCGACTGTTCTTCTTGCAGGCAGGAACAATCCCCCTCTTGAGCCACAACCACATACATGCTTATGTGAACAGGGAGATTCTCAACACCCAATTCAAGCAGGCGGAGAACAAATATTTTAGAAATCTGGGACAGTCTCCGTAATTCATAACTTGTTTGCTTAGACCAGTAACCTACTTTTGCAGCCGTCCTCGTTTCTTCACTGACCCCTTTAATCGAATTAATAAAATGCTAATTAAGTTGACGAGGTGGGCGGATCTGAGCCTGCTTCTTCAAAAGTACTGGAAAAGGTCTGCGTTTCCCCACATTCCTGCAATCCCACATCCTGAGCAGCCAGTATTTCCAACTGAGGTGTTTCCATTGGCAGAATAGGCCTCTGCAAGTACTCAAGTACGTTCGTATGTTCGTGTTGAGACGAAGAGGACACCCCAGATGAAACCAGATATGATGAAAACCAGATGGGACTCGTGGATCAAGCAGCTACTAGCAGTCAAAGGAGCTGGATGTGCTGGACATGTTCGTAATAGTTCTGGCAATGGAGTGCCCAAAAGGGCTGTATGCCGAGTAGCCTTGGTATACAGGAAGAAGGGGCATTATTCAGGGTTCTTACTTCATCTTATCTTTATTTGGCTTCAGCAGGAGCATCTTCTGGAGAGGCAGGAAGAGGTCCTTGATGCAGAATGACACAAGGGCGTTGAATACTGGAACGAAGGAAGACTTAAGTCAGAATCATTAAAGTTAAACCGCTGAAGAACAACTCCACCCATTTTCCACAGCTGAAATCGATCTATGAGACCATGCACTTTATGGTAGCTAAGGGTGCGTCCGCACTTGAATTATAAAGATTTGGGTAAAACTAGATCAAGATCAGGGCAAAATGTGCGAGGTGACTATGGGTGCTCAGACAAGAACTAATAAAAGAAACCAGTACCGAGAAACAACTGCATCGCACTTCGTTGTGAAGTTCTTCCATGTTACATTTAGATAGTGTGTGTCACACACTTTACTTCGATTTGCATCAGGCTACTTCCCTTAAACGATCCAATTTGCCACCAAGGATATGCCCGTGCACGCTGTACTTACCTTGGATAAGGGCACTCAAGGGATACTATAACTCTCCAACTATACTCACCGCAGTACACTCAGGGTATGTGCAGTGGGACTGAAACCCTTAGTCACACCCTCGCCGAAAGCAAACAACCCGCTAACACAGCACCCCACCCCCACCCCCCGAGGGCCGCACGCTGTGGGCTTACCTGAACCGTCCTCCACCTTGTACCGTCCGGGGTCCCCCCCCCCTCCCTGGGTCGTCGCCACGGCAGCTTTGAAGGCCTGCGTGACCTCCCGGAACAGGCGCGGCGAGAGCTCCTTCTGTGAAGGGGCACAGGGGGGCGCAGGTGGTGAGCCTGCAAATAGCCACACGGGCGCCCAATCCACGTCCCATGACCCCCAGAGGGGCACACAGCACCAGCCAGTCAGGGCTCTTGAATGGAGCACTAGCACCGGCCTAGCACACCAGTAAAGCGATCCCTATGAGCACCACACAGCTTGTTGCACGTTTCCTCTCTTACCACAACTGAAGTTTCTTTGTACTGATCCAACCTGGACACGCCCAAGCTCGGGTGAACCTCTTCAGCGTTCCCATTTCGATTTCCCAACGCCGCGCAAGCTGAATGCACCCCCTCCCACCCCTCTTCCTTTAACAACTCACAGCAGGAGCAGAGCCGACAGAGAGGTGGAAAAAGAACCACGGCAGCTTGATTCGAAACGCCTTCCCCGTTAAAGGACTTGGCTGGGAGGGCCGGGGGCCCTGGAGCCTGGAGTACGGTGGAGAACCCTGCAGCTGTGTCACTAGCGGGCTACGGCACTCACAGACTGTACACACACAGCTGGTCCGCACTGCAAGGTCTGAGCAGGTCAGAGCCCAGTCCCCACACACCAACCTCCACAAATCTTACCGTGGTCTAACACGGTGAAAAGCAAAGCAATATGCAAGAAAGCAAAGTGAAATGACCAGTCAAAGCCAGACATACTACGTGGAAGGCAGCTGCGTCAGCATGCGCAGGCTGCAAAGGGACAAGTAAAGGTTTACTCCCTGCTGAGAAGAGAAGACAAGAAGACACCCAAAGAAGGCTCATACAGCCAAAACATTGTTTACTTGGTCCTTCGATACTACATGGAATACCACTGTGAATCTTGCAAAGGGCAAATTCCTTTACCAAACAGAGCAATCATCTGCACTATAGAAACTCCCGCTGAACAAGGACAAAGCAATGAAGACAATGGTTGATAACATGTAAAGAACACGTGTGCGCATGTGACCTCCACCGTCCCGGTAACCTGGACAATCCAGATGGTGTGGGCATGAACACTCCGGGAAGCAAACAGCATTAAAAGAACAAATAACTGAACCGCAAGAACAAAAAGATGACTTAATACCTTAATGCCTGCCTTCCACTCCTCCACCATCTTCTCAGTCACTTTGATCACATCAGCTGATTTTTTGGATTTTCCGGCTGGCTTTACGTCCTCATCACCTTCATCAGAACTGGCCTCCTGTCGGTGGAAAAGTTTAAAGTCTTCAAAGTGTCAGCAATCCTCGTGCCTTCAGGCAGAGATAAAGAGTCACAGCACAACAACAACCTGCAACAAATCATCGGGGACGAAGAACCACAATGTCGTGGCTCGGCTGTACACTTCTGGCTGCGAGACAAGACGGGCTCAGAGACCAGTGGAAGAAGTATTCTCCTCCTTTCAGGAGCCGTGAGCTCTCAGAACTGTAGCAGCCAGGGGCAGGCTGGGTAAGGAGCACACTGATATCACAGCCAGCCTGTGTAGGCCTCTAACATAATCTAATGTGTGTAAATAGCCAAAGAGGGGATTAACCATTAGTTAATTAACTGGGTAATTAGGAGAAGAATCAGCAGACAGGTTCCCACATGGCTGAAATTAGTTCAAGTTTGGTATATCAAGGGCTTCACAGGGGTGGGCAGGTTTTTGAAGAGCAGATATTTGTGCTCCAGAGGAGAGGTTTCTACAGTCAAGACTCCTCTTCGATTTACTTCTCTGTGCGACTGCTGGTTTTCACTCGCTCGGACCCTTTGAGCCACTGCAATGAGGCCAGGGCCAGTCCCCCCCCCCCCCCCCTCTCACTGGGGCGGCACCTCAAGGTGGGCGGGCAGCTTGTGGTATTTGCCGTCCTCCTCGTCCTCCGAGCTGTCCGAGCCATCAAAGTTGAGCAGCTTCCGGTCGTTGTCCTCCAGGAACTTGTAGAACTCGGGATCCTTGCTCTTCAGCCGGCTCAGCTGCTCCTTATGCTCCGAGGCTTTGCCTTTCTTCCCGACTCTCCTGGGGGCACAAGGAAAGACGCGGAGCCGTCACGGCGCAGTAGAAAGGAGAACCCCTCCGCTGCCTAGCCACCTACGGGCACAAGTGCTCTTCCCCGTTTCCTCCTCTGCGCTTGGACCCCTATTGCGCTGCTGGTCCGTAAGCAGTCAAGAAACCATGAAATTCTCGCCAGAGGCTGGAGGCACCGGGAATAAGGAACAAGCTAACTAGCTACGGTGCTGAAGCACCTTCGCTGAGCTCCTAGACGAGATCCACAGGTGAAATTGCCCCTAGCACCCACAAGCCCTGCACTTACTGCTAGGCTTTCTTGGTCTGAACGTTCACTGTTTCACAGTAATTCTACTTGGACTTGACAGCTTTAAGAGAACTTAAAAGGGCTGCAAGTTACACATGTATAAGCTTCTTTAAAATTAAGATGCATTATTACAGGGGCCCGACCAAACTGGTCCCGTGTACCCACACGCCAACAGGTTTTTGTTCCACCTGAGCACTCAAAATAACCGAAACCCTTCGAACACTCATTTTTCATTTCCGAAATTATGTAGGAGGTGCCAATTAACTACAGATTCTCATGGGTTAACATGAGATCTCGGGAGTAGTAGAAAAAAAGGTTGCGACCAAGCTCAGCCGCAATGAAACCCAGCAGGAGTGTGGGTCTCCAGGGCCTGTCTTGCGAGCTCCTGTATTATTATACTTATTATAGCCTCTGCCACCAAGATGCACACACCGAGGACGTGTACTAGGAGGTGTGACCGAACTCTAAACTCACCTGTCCTGTGAGGCAGCTGTGGGATCTGCGGACCTCTTGCTCGGCCCCTCCTGCCCGGCGGCCATCTCCTCCTCGTAGTCCTCATCGTCCTCCAAGTCGAATCCCGACTCCAGGAACTCGTCCACGCTCAGGTCCTCCAGTTTCCTGGAACACAGTTCCCACTACACTGCAGGCTCAGCCATTTCCAGCTTAGAGCGCCACCCCAGCAACGGGTGCCGCCTATTTTGTGCTCGTTACCCATCACTTTAAAAAACGGTGGTTACGACAAATATGACAATTTCTTAAACGGGGTCTACGGTGATACTACACCCTGAACACCTGGTTAAACTAGACAGCTCGTCTTGGGGAGATGGGAGAAAACCAGAGCACCCAGAGAAAGACCATTCAAACACAGAGAAAACATGCAAACATCTATCGCATGTGTCTTGTAGGAGAACACTGTTAAGCTAACTGTTCAACCAGCTGAGAGAAAACATGAGAACAGAGAAATACAGTATGTTCAACTTCGGAGAACTGCGGAAACAAACTTTGTAGCCTCTTTGAGGCTTTCCTGGGTTATTTATTATTTAGATTTATTATATTTACGACGAGTCTTAATGAGCTCCCTAGTCGACCTTAATAGCAAAATTGATTAACTCATTACTGGATTATTTAATTGGGAAAAGGCTTCTCTGCACGTGGTCTATTTTCGACTGGTTGGTGTCAGGCAATATAAGATCCACGCTGAAACACTCCTCGGTACCGAAATGATAACCACGTATGAGAGGTCATCAGGAGAGTATTGAGCGCCATGCTTGGGGGTTATTTAGATCACCTTTCGATAGACTGCATCTCAATAACTTCGGGTGTTCTTTCATCTTTTATCTCTATTTTTAATAACGAGGTTTTCGTTCCTCTTTCAAGAAACCGTTACTAAACTATAATTGTCATGAAACTACTTAATCTGGCTCAAGAAGAGAATATTGGATATCTTTACTAGTGTGTGAAGCAATTTCTCTGCGTTTGAAAACTAACGCAGCACTCTTGAAAATTCGTGTTCAAATAGAAAAGGGTGCCTAGAAACTAGCGACATTCTGATGTTTTGAACGATTAAATCTTTTAAAAAGTTAACAACTGCGGAGGACAAACGTGTACCACCATCGACCACAGGCTTTAAAGATGAGGATTCTCCAACAGCCCAGCAAAATTACTTTCATTCTTGAAATAGAGACCTACAAAATATCAAACTCGTTTTAACTTAACTTGAAAGAGAGAGAAGACTTTTTTTTTTGTTTGTTTTAGTATGGCAGAAGAGCGCAACGCTTTTCATAATTACACATCTAACCACGACCGAGGGAAAAACGCGTGGTTTCACGACGGACACGGTCTGGCTACCTCAACAGAAAAATATCCCTAATATCTTCTAAACCTGGATTAACAGGGCCATCTTCTCCACACCGACAGAGCAAAACGACACATGAGCAATTTCTTAAACGCATGACATTTGTTTTCGTGCTTCTCTAGTCTAACGTGTAAAACCATACCTTCTACCGGCCGCCGCCATGCTAGACATACAACGTGACTCCTGCCGCTTCCCACAATGCAGCGGTGCAGCCGGCGTGTTAGTTTCATGTTTAACAATCGCACGTCCGGGAGCAAAGCGGGAGGGTGCAAAAACATTACTAGATAGATAACATCACTTTATTAGCCATATACAATTTCTTGCATTAGGAATCTGTCTTTTTGCATACCCCAGCTTGCTCTCCATTAGACACACAGACAGGGAGAGAAGCTGGGGGTCAGAGTGCAGGGTCAGACATTTATACGGCGCCCCTGGAGCAGCTGGGGCCTTGCTCAGGGGCCCAACAGAGTAGGATTCCTCTGCCGGCTGCGGGATTTGAACCAGCAACTCTCCAGCCACGAGTGCAGACCCTGAGCCAGGGTGCCACTGCTCTGCCCATTAGACTCGTATTTTATAACCACTGCCATTTTAAAAAACAAAACTATTGATTGTGACAATAAGAAGCATTATGAAATGAGAATGGGAGTCAACTATTTACCCAAAGGGTCTTGGAACATTAAATTTACCCAGCCGTGCTGTTGAAGCTGGTATACCGACTTCTTTCAGGAAAACTGCTGGACAAGAAAACTGGATTAATTACCTACTTATCTCCATTTATTTGGGCTTTTATGTTCTTATATGTTATTGGAGTGGTCAAGTACAGGGAAATCAAATGTTATCATTTATGTAGCAACATGAAATGTCAAATACAAACCATGTCCAAAACAAAACATTATTAATACTAATACATCTACTAGAACTAGTGCTGCTACTCGTATTGTTTTTACCTTTCCTGTAAAGCGTTTAGAGAGGACACTTGAAGACGCTGCATAAAATAAAGTTCATTGTTATTATAACAGCCCTGAATGGAGATGTCCTACGGGATTAAAAAGAGATGAATACATTTTTACCACTAACCTTAGCAGAAGGTCTGTTCATTTCTGCACTTTCAGAGCAGCTAGTATTGTAAAACACAGCACAAAACTGAGACTGACTGCAATCATAGTCTGAATAGTTCAAGATACGTTAGCCGTAGATATACTCCTTACACTTTTTTTCTGGAAGCCTGAAATGTTATCTTACGCTGTATATTAAAAAAATTTTACATTGTATGAATTGTCTCTTGTCGTTTTGATTTTGCAAGGCATACAATGTAGTTAGCTGTTCCGAGACTCAAAATGGCTAAATACCATCAGAGCGGAAGGTACAAACCAAAAATTTCTTCTCTACTTTTCCCGTCTCTCTCAGGTTTTCGCTGTGTTGTGGTGAGCAGCATGAAGCTAGCTGCACTAAGCAACACGAATGATCCGGAAGTGTATGTAAATAGCCGAATTTCAATCAAAATAAAAGACTTTCAGCTACCACAGTAGCGTATGAGGACTATAGCAACATTAAGCGAAGTGACAAGCAGCTGAAACACCTGCTTTGTTATTTCTTCGTGGCTAACGTATTCCTTGAACATTCAGCCAAAATTTTAGAGGGTCCTTTTTTAAATTTTAAATCGCCTCCACTAATCTCCAAGTTTGACAAATCTAAGCTTATTAGAAGTTTTTATTAATTTTACAGCACCTTTCTTCCATTTATACTCCTGGAAAAATTGTCATTGCTATATTTTTTTTCATAGAAATGTTTTTTTTTTCTGTTCAGTGAAAAAGGTTTTAATCTGCATGCTTTTGAAGGAGCTGTATCTGAAACTTGTAATTAAATCAAATCCTTTATTATATTTAAATTCCATCAGTTTTTTTAAACTATAACCAGGGACAAAAACATTTTTTGTACCATCAAAAGTGGTGAAACATACAATGTTAAGACAGTCAGCCAATAGCAAATCACCCTTCTTCATTCCGTTTTAAGTCTTTATTAATATTGTTGGTCTGGGTGGATCACCTCTAGAAAAACTGCAGTGCAGAATTGGATGGGGAAAATTTGTGCCTCTCCACAGGTGGATGGAATCTATTGCACAGACCCTCAGATAATAGGATATCACCTTGGTTTTGGCAACTAAGTGTCTCTGTCAAAACCGCTGGGGTTTATAGAGCACCTCCTATTCCCAGACTGGGACTGTGCAGCGATGGGCAGGGAGCAGTCTCACTCCCCTCCCAGCCAAACAAAAATTTGTGCCTCTTCAAAAATATTTCATTTCTACTCTACAGATCCTCAGCTAATATAGTACATCTCCATGGTTTTCTCAGATAACTGTCTTTGCTAAAGTTGCTGGGGTTTATAGAACCACTTGCTGTTCCCAGACTGGGACCGTGCAGTGATGGGCAGGGAAAAGTGTAAACAACAACAACCATGATCCCATCCAAAGTAATGCTGACACTGAAGATAATAGTATTGCGACCAAAATCATAGCTGTGACATGGAGTAACCATACAATAAAAAAACGGTTCTTAGACACAGAGTGGAGGACTGGCAATGTTTTGAAAAGGCAGAAATCGTTATGCATCTAAATCACCCAACAGCCAAAAAAAACAAAGGTGGAGTGCGATGCTCGCACTGAGCGGTTTAACTTTGTGTAGGTATGACACAGAATGACAGAGATACTGAATCTGTAGGGTTTCCGTGTTGCTCAGACAATTGTGATGTTAAAGCCATGGCATTAAAAGCTGGGTTCACTTTAATGAACAAATGTAAAGCACTCAGCAGTTTAATACATAATAAGTCAGATGTAACCCAAAAAAAAAGTAAAATTGATGCGTCACATGTCAGCATTGGTGCTCAAACAGTGCTGGATTATCTCAGTTTTGGGGCTTATTGTGGTAAGACAGACAATAAACAGATGGTTTCCCAGGACAATGAGGTTGAGTTAAATGATGACACAGAAGTGAGAAGTAGTATTGAATGTGTATCCATCACCCAGGGAAATTGTTCCTCATGTCATTCCCTCTGAAAGTGAAAT